TTTCATTTTTTCTTACAAAATCATCAATCTATCACAATCTCTCTCTAATTTTCTTCTATAATTGCTACTATTGTTTACTTTATTGTTACTAAGTGTATAATATATAAGCTATATTCTATATATATATATAGCTTATATATTATACATTTAGTATATATACTATACTATACTATATATACAACTTATATAAGCTATATAAGATGTATATATAGCTTATCGATGTATATATATATTATATATATATATATATTATACTATACTATACTATATGTACATCTTATATAGCTTATATACTATACACTTAATATATATATACTTTTTAGTAGTAACATGAAAGAACCAAAGTATGGTTACTTCTTAGCATAATCTGAGTTGAGCTAAAATTTGATCTTCTATCATTCCATATTTATACCAGCTAAGAAGTACCATACTTTGGTCCTTTCATGTTACTACTAAAAAGAGTGTATATATATATATATAAAAGTTATATTCGATATAAGATGTATATATAGTATATTGTATATATATATTAAATAAAATTTAGGTCACAATTCTATAATAAAATTTACAAAGTATTGCTTTAGATATTTTTTTTAACATCCTTTTGTCTCTAATATCTATTTAATATTTTTTTTTAAAAAAATCCGTTGGGCCTACTTAGCCCATTTAGCCCGTGGGCCGGGACCGTTTAGCCCGGGACCAAACGGTCCCAGTCCCTACAAAAAGACCGTTTAGCCCGGGACCGTTTGGCCCGTTTAATTTGGGATCGGCCCGAGACCGGGACCGTTTGGACCGGCCCACTTAGCCCGTTTAGGCCCGGGACCAGCCCACTTGCCACCCTTATCTGCTCGCTTTCCTTTTGTAATATAAGAGAATATATATATATATATTTTATTAATCTTGAAATATTTTTTATTTTAAATTTTATTAAGTTGTTGTCAATATTATTTGAATTTTAATGAAGAAAATCTCTATTAAATTAAAGGGACTTATAAAGTCATCGAATAACTTTTTTTGTTATGTATTTTTTTATTTTATATTATCCAATATTTAATATAATTGCATTGTTAATAGAATTTTTTATTAGCATATTACTTTGTTTAAAATTTTTGTCTACTGCTTTCTTTTTGTAATATAATAGAAGATATATATTTTATTACTCTTGAAATATTTTTTTACTTTAAATTTTATCCTATTGTTCCTATTAGTGTTATCTGAATTTTAATGAATAAAATCTCTATTAAGTTAAAGAGACTTATATAGGCATCGAATTTAACTTTTTTGTTATGTATTTTTCTTTATCATATTATCCTATATTTAGTATTATTGCATTGTTAATAGAAACTTTTATTAGCATATTACTTTAATTTTTGTATCCGACTTTCTTTTTATAATATAATAGAAGATATATATTTTTATATTTTATATTTTATTCTATTATTCTCAATAATATTTTCTGAATAAATAAGCTTTTAATTTTTAAAAAGAAAAACAAAAATTATTAAAAAAAATAAAGAAAGCAGTTTTTTATTTTTTTTATTTTAATTTTTTATTTTAAAATAATTTAAAAACTCCAACATGAAACTACTCTCCAATTTGAATGGACATTTTTTTTTAATTTTCGCTTTTTATTATAAACAATTGACTGATTCTGTTTGTGTTTTACTGATTGCAAAGTGGTTGCATGAGATGTCACATTCACTATATCTCTTGGAAATCAGTTTCTTACTTTGTCAGCAGATGGATTGTCGTTTTCTCGTTTAATTTTTTTTTTTTAAAACCCCTCCCAAATTAGGAGGCAGTTTCTTACATGGTCATCAGATGGATTGTGGTTTTCTTGTTTAATTGGTTGACCACTTCGCAGTCTGCATCTTAATTTCTTGGTTTGGTACTTTATTTGACCCCTTTTGCTCTTCACGGGTAACAAAGTTGAGAATCATCACTCCTTTTCTTCAGGAGCATGGTATTCTGGTTAGGGTGGTGAGTGGGTTTCATTCTCTAGGACGTGCAGTGAAATTGGCTCCGGATTTGTGGTCAGCAATGCTGATTCGCATGCTGGTGAAACCCGAGTTCCAGAAATTTGCTTTTGACATTGGTTCAGCATTGTCCAGTCACTTCAAGAATCAACTTCCGGTCAGCTTTTGGATGGGTATTTCTAGGCTACTACATAAGGTGGTTGATACGGATGAAGCTGAAGTATCGTGATGTAGCAAGGTTGGTGCTCTCGTTTTGTATTCGTGGTTATGCCCTTGTTATTATTTTTCCCAGCGGATGCTTGAGTGAGAGCTTTTGAGTAGGGAATATAAGTCAACTTCAAGATTATAGAACAACTGTAAATATTATGCCTCAAAAGTGGGTTCAAGCACTCTGCCTGTTGTATTGCTTTTGGACCCTACGGAGTATCTGCTTCGTTTTCTGGACGGTGGGACGGAAAGAAGAGCGTCCTATCCACAGCAAACATCAATTTCATTTTACAAACATTAACAGGATCAAGAGGGGAAAGCACACTATACACTGCAAAAAGAGAGCCTGGTCTGCAAACGCGTTATTGCGATTTTACAAAGGTCAGTTTCATCTTATCAACGTTACTAGAATCAAGATAATTGTATAGTTCCACCAAGGTCACGTTGGAGTTGGTTATATAGTCTATAGCTTTGTGACGATAAGCTCAGTGATGAGTCTGAACATTTTTGTCTATCTGGTTTGTATCAACTTTGTCGACAAATGGTGGATAATACATTTTTCATTTATTTCAACATCTGGTTTCTTGCCGGAGCCTATCTTTTTTCATGTCAGAATGGCGTTGTTTCCGTACAGAATTACGTGAGAGATGATAGATACTTGTGCTACTTATGTTATTTACTTCAGGGGAACCTATAATTGAGATGACACTTAAGCAGAGACTGATCTCAAGTGTTTCCAGCGGAACTAATTTAAGATTAATTTCATTTGAAACTAAACAGTAATTGGATAATGAAATGAGGGTTAAAGTGCTTTCCGCTTTCCACTAGTCAGGCAATGGCCATAAGGCTTGAATCCAGAACCAGCCTCGTGCTTTAGGGAAATTCCTATAGGCAAAGAAAAGAAAGTTCATTTTTACTTCAAATTCTTTCGTCAACAGATGAGGTTATAGGTGTTATTGGGGGAAGGTCCTGTAATTTTGACATGAGTATTCTCATTTTAAACAACGGTGACAGTTGGGCCCTATCTCGTTTTCAATTAATGTGTCTGAATCAACGGCAAGTGTTCTATTGGAAATTAATAAGGCTAGTATTGTATATGTCTGGAGAGGCGAACAAATGTGCAGGTTTTTTAACAAATGGAGGTCACAAGTGTGGAGATAGTTTGATAATGTGGGAAGTTTCTTCTGATTAAAACCATGTAGTTTATAACAACAACAACAACAAAAAATCCAGTATAATCTTACAAGTGGAGTCTTTGAAGGGTAATGTATACGCAGATCTTACCCTTACCTTGTGAAGGTAGAGAAATTATTTTTCATAGACCCTTGGCTCAAGGGACAATGAAAAGGAAGTAACAACAATAACAACAAGGTAATAAAATAACAGAAGCGACACAGTAACAACAATAACAAGGTAATAAAATAATAGAAGAGACCAGAACTAAAGATCTAAGAATAAAAAAAATGCAAAGAATAGTACTAATACTATTGGTAAGGCTAGGAGAAACTCTCAACTACTTATTAACCTTCAACCCTAATTCTCGACCTCCACACCTTTCTATCGAGGGTCATGTCCTCGGTAAGCTTAAGCAATGTCATGTCCTGTCTAATCATCTCTCCCCAATACTTCTTTGGCCTACCTCTACTCTTTCTCAGACCCGTAATGATCAACCTCTTACACCTAAACGGAGCCTCTATGCCTCTCCTCTTCACCTGTCCGAACCACCTCAGCCTCGATTCCCGTATCTTATCCTTAACAGGGGCCACTCTCACATTATCCCGAATAACTTAATCCTAATCTTATCTTTCTTGGTGTGCCCACACATCCATCTCACGCATACTCATTTATGATACTTTCATCTTCTGGACATGGGATTTCTTGACTGGTGACACTCACCCACATATAATATAGTCGGTCTAACCTCCACCTTGTAGAACTTAACCTTAAATCTTAGTAGCACATTCTTATCATACGAAATACTAGATGCTAGCCTCTGTTTCATCCACCCTGCTCCAATACAATGTATAACATCATCCTCAATCTCTCCCGTTAGTATGAATTACAGACCCAAGATATTTCAATGTACCAAAAACAAGTAACACTATCATGTCCAAAACACTCAATATTTATATTTATATTATATTAAAAATACGAAACCCTTAGCGAAATATCGTTCACGATTTTTACCCTTTAAAGATAGATTTCACACAAGACAAAATAGTCATATAATTATTTTCTTAATATTTAGGATTTAAAAATTAATTAAAATTGTACTCATTAATTAATCTTTTTTTATTTGAACTACTACGTAGAAGGTCCTAATATTTAGGAGTTAAAGAGTCCAAATTCAACTAAAATTTTATTTTATATAATTTTTTTTCATTATTTGACCAACTTTTATGAACTTCAGAAGTGCTTTTGGAGTTTAATACGTGCTACGTGGCAATTAAAATTTTCTTATTCTTAGCCTCTAAAGTATATGATTATTAGTATTTTACTCTCCAAATATTACCAATAATTGATTACCTACAAATCATGATACATAAGCGATGCACGTTCATTTTTTAAAAACTTTTTAAAAGTTTGATTTAATTTTTAAGTATAAATTTCTAGAAGTTTCAACTAATATGCCAATACTAATTTAAAAAATAAATTAGGCTGCACTAATACTATGTAAAATTGTAAATATTTTGAACTTTAGATAAACTAATATTATTTTTCCTATTTTGAAAAATTATCCTTATAACTGTGAATTCTTAAAATTTCAGAGTAGTCATTGATACATAAGCGATGCACGTTCATTTTTTAAAAACTTTTTAAAAGTTTGATTTAATTTTTAAGTATAAATTTCTAGAAGCTTCAACTAATATGCCAATACTAATTTAAAAAATAAATTAGGCTGCACTAATACTATGTAAAATTGTAAATATTTTGAAGTTTAGATAAACTAATATTATTTTTCCTATTTTGAAAAATTATCCTTATAACTGTGAATTCTTAAAATTTCAGAGTAGTCATTGAAACTCTTGAACGTGCCAAGAAAGGGATTTAGACTTAAAACAGTATGAATATAGTTGATTTTTTCTTTCACGAGAAAATTAACTTATAACCTATTATTTTGATGTTCTTTTAATGAACGCATAAGAATAGTTAAGTTGCGAAGAACAAATTTTATACCATGTTAAAACCAAACATATAAATATAATTTTATAAAGCGATGTTAGGCGAGATGCAACAACATAACATATTTGTATCTTATATAATAAGATATTTGTAACAACAAATACTATATAACTAACTCAACTAAATTCATCAATTTTTACATGTTCACAAGATATTAGATTTAACTATTGTTCAATGTAATAACATTTATTTTCATTATTTAAATAAATATTGCCTCTAGTTTAATGTCAATTGCTATTTTTCAACAATATGTTTTCTGGTATACGTTTTATACTGATTGACGCAAATTACACATGCAACCCACGTATATTAAAACTAGTACTCCATCTGTTTTAGTTTAGATTACACATTTCGCATATCGAGAGTCAATTTAACTAAACTTTGAAACTAAATTAGATTAATTCAACTCAGTATTTTAAAATTAAAATAAATATTTAAAAACTATACGAAAAATATTATAAATTATAATTTTTCTCATATCAAAATGCTAAAAAATATATTTTAAATTGACTCTCAAATGTATCATCTAAATGTTAATGGATGGAGTATAACTTAAGTAAAAGAACATACCTAGTCAAAAGATAAAGTCCTTTAGATTCTTTTGACTGACAATACAGGTAATATAAATTCCTCACAGGCTCACACCTCTCTCTTTTCCTGTTCTTTAGATGTATAATCTCCTGAGTGTTCCAACAAGAAATTAAACTCAAAAAACACATTGGGAATATAACATGCAGAAAGATACCTAAAAGATCCAGATTTTTACATGATTTCATGGCAAAATAAGAAGAAGATGTAAATTAAGTAGTATACTTTTTTAACAAATGGACTACAACTAGAGTTGCTAGTTTCAAAGAAATAAACAAAGTTTGAGCCAATGCCTGCAGATTGCAGAGTCAATGAAAATGGGCTTATGTAAAGCGTAAATTTCCAACATTCAGAGTTTGACCAACGCGAAGATGGAGAAACAATAGCCAAAATTGACACGTAACACCGCTTGGGCCAAGGTGGATCCGTCCCTGTGATCACGTACTTATTATGGAATTGTATACACTGGTAATATAAAATACTAAGTTTTACATTATTAATCACCTAAAATTGATTATTAGAACATAAATATTTATAATAGTCGTCCCTAAAAGAAAGGAATTAACTCAAGAAACAAGACAAGTGGGGCATATTTTACAACACGTCAAAATATATTTATTGTTCATGTAAAAAAAAGTTAAATCCTTTGTGGAACTAGGGGAAAGTGCTAACACGTAATTCACGTGTTTAGTAGAGAAACATGCACAAATTAATTTAGTAAGATAAAAGAAATCCTTCCAGTGGGACCTCACGGCCCATCACAAGTTGCAACTCTACTCATGTACAACAAATTATGTACATTATTCAAAGACTCTTTGATAAATTCACAATAAAATAGTAATTGGAAGATTTACAGGCATATTAAGTAGGCGTTGGTACATTAAAAATATAATTTTTTAAAAAGGTATTGGGAATTTAAAATTATATTTGAACATACATTTTACTTGAAAAAATACTACCAATTTTATTCGGAAAAACTAAATTTTACATGAAAAAGTGATAAAGCCCACTTTTTTTAAATTTAAAAATTCATCTTTAAAATGTTTTAAAACTCATCTAATCAAACATGATTTGAAAATATTTTTCGACAAAGAAAATGTCCAAAAAGTTCCTCGGTATTGCTTCACCGAAATTTAAGCCTGCACTGTAGTGGTGTCCAGTTTGAATCAATTTTTTCTCTCTATATATATTTTATGTATTAATTCTATGAGAAAGTTTAAGTTGGATATCACTTCTACAAAATTGCTTTACTTAATCATTTGATATTCTAGATCAATTTATTCAATTAATTCAGATTCACGTTATGTAGGGTTCAATTAAAGGGAAGGCCGGAGATTTCCTACTAAGAATTTCTCCAGAATCAAGTATAAAACTTCTAATTAAAAGTGGAGGAATTTCATACATTATATTATATCTTTTGATGGTCTTTCTACGAAACCTTACATAATATAAACTGTAAGAGTGAATGGTGTAAAATGAACCAACAAAGAAACCTTTTTTTTTTTGATCTGGAGATAAGGATTCTTTAAAGGTAAAGAAAGAAAAAAAGCGTTAAATGTGATCCGTCAAATGTTCTAACGGACCAAAGCTATAGTAGTTGCTACTGATTACGCGATTTGTTTTGGATTTCACCAAAGAGTTGGGATTAGACTCAAGATTATTATTTTATAGTACACTTTCAATTTTTCAATGTTGTAATAGAGTTTCAAATAAGAGTCTAACTTTTATCCACGTATACATGACCGTGTATAATTTATTATACTATTGAATTAAGATGACCAATGAATAGAGGAGGAAATGATTC